AGCAGGGCGGCTCGTGGGGCTCTGACAGCCCGACAGTCACTTTGGGGCGCCTTCGCCATTCAGGGTGCGACAGGGACAATGGTCCGTTTTCCTGGGGGCAGTAGGCGCAGCCCTCGGCGCACGGGCAGGACGGGCGCCCGGATGAGGAGCGCTGAGCCCGACTTCAGCTGTCGCTGGCCCAGTGGGTTTCCCGCCTCTAGGCTCGGAGGGGACTTTCGGGCCTGGCGAACTAACATGACAGGAGACAACATGCAGCTTGCAAACGACAAGGCTACTGATGACGGCGCTGTGCGCCCGAGATTGCAGCAGCAGGAGCGCCCTTGGGGAGAAACGGTGGAAGGCCAGAGTGACAGCTCGAAGGAAGGCGTTAGAGGCAACTTCGGAGGTCGGAGGGAGCCCGTCAAGTGAGCCTGCGGCTGAACAGCCTGCAGACAGTCTCTAAGAAGTGACTGTCAAGCTTGGGAGCTTTGAGCGACACCAGGCTTCAGGGACAGTTAAATGAGACACAAGAAGGAGACAGAATTCTAAGCACATACCAGGAAGCCAGTGTAGCTTTTAATTCACTATTATAACAAATGAGCAGAGTAAATATTTTCCTTCAAGAACGAACTGCTGATGCAGGAGACATGGGGCACAAAAGGGACTCCCGTCCTCCTGGGCTTTGTCCTGGAGGAAGATTGACAACCACAAAAGGAAAACACCAGGACACAGTAGTTAGAGCCTCTGGGCACAAGGGAAGAGCCTGGAGGTGAGGAAGCTCGAGTTATGGATGTGCACCGACTTAGCACAGTGAGGGACGCCTTTGATGCCAGGGTCACTTAGAAGGAATGTGAAGGTGAGATCACTTCTATGAGTTTTCTGGAAAGGTTTGAGCAGACTTATGAAATACTTTTGGGGGTCAGAAAAATAACAGTGATAATAATAAAACAAAACCAGCAGGCAACCAGAAATGAGAGCCACTCTGCAAGGGAGAGGGAGGCCGAGGGATCAAAGCAGGGACGTTAGCAACGCCACACACCACGCTGATAAAGAAACGGGGTCCTGGAGCAGGCTACGTAATGCAGGATGCTGCTGAGGAGCAAGACCCTGGCTTTCATTGATAATCAGACAGCGTGAATTGTAAGCGGGAGAAAAGGAGACGGGAAGCAGAAGGAAAAGGGGAAGGGTGGGCCTGTCAGGGTTAGGGTCTGCTGTTCAGGCACTTCTTGGCTGATGGCTCGGCACTGTAGTTGAGATCCAGCCCTAGTTCCCCATCCCAGGCAGTCCACTGACCAGCTTCTGGGGTCCCTGGCCATACATTGGTCAATGCCCCCCCCGCCCCAGTCCCTCATACCTCGTGTCGTACACCCTTCCCAGGGTGATCCAGCTTTGGGCTCCTAAGTGATGTGAACGACACCTTGTAGGGTTGGGCTCCTTTGACCCGGCAGTTCTGACCTTGCTTTAGGAATCCAGACCTACAGGTAACAAGAGGGAAGCTGGACCAGAGACCCACAGGGGGGAAAAGCATGGGGACTAGGGTGATGGCTCACAGGTGAACCGCTATGGGCACTTTCTGGGGACTACACAGTGATTTAAAGATAAAGAGGACAGTAAGTAAAAAAAAAAAAAATTTCTTTGTGCATACAGAGCTAGGGTACAAGCCAGAGGTGCAGGGGCGGTGAGAGGATTCACCAGAGAGAGTGGGGAGCAGAACAGGCTGGTGGGCAAAGTACACTGCTGAGGGGAGCAGCCGGTGGGACAGGAGAGCCCTGCCACGCCACGTGGGTCACAGGGCCAAGGGTGCTGTTACTAACCTGTTGCGCCACCAGGGAGGGCCCGACAATGAGATATTTTTCAGAAAGCATCAGATAGTGTTAGGTGGAGCCCTTACAGGCCCAGACAGTGGAGGGCCTGTGCTCCATCCACTCAGAGGGGGTGTGGGAGACCTCGGTGCCTGAGTCTGCTTGGTGGACCAGCCTGGAACAGGCAGCTTCACTTTTCATACAACCCTGCATTTCAGGGTTTTATGACTCCTGGGCCTTCACCACCAGCATCTGTTGAAATACTCCTTGTCATTTCAGAACCCAGTAAAAACGGAGCTGTGGCTCAGGCTCTAGAAGCTGTGTGTTAGCCATCTTTGCGGAGTTCTGGTGCATTTTCAAAACCATCCAACCCCACTGGGGCTGCCACTTGCATGAGGAGTCCTCTGTAAGTCTGCAGGGTTTTTTAAACTGCGTAAAGGGGGAAGGAATCGTATGTGTTACTTTCCATAATATAAAAGGGAACCTACAAAGCCCGAACTTCTGTGTCCTGGAGAAAAACAACTTCAGTGTAACATCGACCTCTCAGAACTGTGTGTGTACATGTGTTGATTTACTCAAACATAGTCAGTTCTAAAAATTGTGTTTCTCAGTAAAAACAGTCACCCTTTGGGTAACAATTCATGTTCTGGTGTTCTTATTTAACACACCCTGGACAACCCAGAGGTATTTTCTTCTTTCACATGTGGTATCTGCCAATTCCTTCTCTTGAGTCTTACACATCTAAGGTTACTGCGGTTTCTGTCCTCTGTATGTACCTTGGTGGCCAGCGCTGGGTGCGGGCTTTGCTTGTCCTTACTCATCTCTCAGGTCCCGCGGGCCCCTCCCAAGGTCACAGAAAATTCCTTAGAGGTAACCAAGGTCTTCTAGTGCTGTTCCAACCCATCTGAAGCTCCCCGTGGGCAGAAGAAACAGACTCGTGACGGCATGAGAGCCTAGAAGCTGGAAACCAGGTCACATGGGTCAGATTTGGATGAGATTTCGGCCACGCCCCGGCCTAGGCAGGTGTCACGAAGGTGCGTGGATGCGCTGCTCAGTGTCACAGGTGTGAGTAGACGTCTGAAGTGGGAAGTGGAACCCCAGCTTCTGGGCACAGTCAGGACATCTGCCCCGAGCTAGGGGAGACACTGGAGGCTCTGACCTCAGGAGTGAGGTTTTCTGTCTCTGACGTCTGGAGGCTGAGGGAGCCGGGCCTGAGTTCCCCAATGAGCATTAAGTTAAATATTAAACAAACCAATTTCTCAATAAATTTTAAGTAAAACAGTTTGAGTACATTTCCAATCAGCTTTCAATTACGCATTTACTGGTAACTTGTAAATTTTGAATAAGACATCAGACGGCGGAATTAAACAACTAGCCACACGCAAGACTAGCTTTCAGTGACCAGATACTACAAGGTAATCCTACTAAAAGGGACGTGAGTCCTACATACGGGTACTAAAGACATGAAATCTGATCTCTTTTAAAGTTCCTGTGAAGTGCCGGTGGCCGTAAAATTTTGTTCAAAGCTATTTCCCTTTAAAAGTCCCGAAATGTCCATTTACTTGAAACGCAAGAGGCGGCAAAGTGCGATCTTTATGCAGTAAGTAACTAAGGCCTTTGTTCTCCCCTTTCCTGACTCCCCGAGGGCCTGTGGGGAGCTCTGCCTGGACTGTGACCACTCGCAGCTGGAGAACTCGGCTGTAGCTGCAGCGTGGCAGGGCACCCCAGCTCCACGAAGCCCCCATTCCGGAGGGAGGGCAGCCCACACCGCTTTATCCAGGCAGCGCTGAGCCTAGAGCACTGCCCACGAGCCCCACAGGCTGGCGGGCAGGCAAGGCCACGGGCGTCTGTTCAGTGTCAGCCACGCTGCCGCCTGGTTCGGCATTTGCTGCAACCCACGGACGACAGCCCGGGGAAACGAGCAGACTACAGAGCAAGACTGCTGTGCTGACAGTGCTGGGCTCCTCTTCAGACGCTGAGGGCGAGCCTGGCGCAGAGGAGCCCAAGTGCGTGCCTGTTGGCCATCCCACTGTGCACAGCAGTCGGACGCAGAAGAGTTTCCCAGCACTGCGAAGTTACCCCATCGATCAGAGGTGCCACTTGTGTCATCGAGAGTAACTCAGACCCCAACATCCAGCCTGGTCCCTTTCACCCTATTTGCTAAGTAGGCAAAGCTCACGACAGAAGGGGCAAAACAGTACGGACAGTCAGTTCACCAGAGTCTAGAGTAGAAACATCCAAAAAATGCGTCTACTAAACGGCTTAAATCCAGTGGCGCGTGGTGAGTCTCAGCACTATGAAGCTGCTGCAGCCGCTGTAGCACGACTCCCATCCCTGGCCAGACAATCACCCCAGGGCGTGCAGACCCTTCTGTCTCCCCATTGCCCCCTCAGCAGTGGGGTCCGTCAGTCCGCTGTTCAGCCTCCCCACTCTGTCTCTGGTGAATCCTCTCACTGCCCCTGCACCGGGCCTGTACCCCAGTTCTGTGTGCATAATCTTTAAATAAAAAAAAATAAATAAAAAGGACTATTTTCAAAGTGATGACCACCACCCAACTAGGCTATGCCGAGAAGTGGACACTTACGGAAAGCTGGTGAGACCACACCAGAGGATGCTCAATCAGCTTTCTGTGCTGAACTCGCAATATTCTCTGGCCAACAACAGGCCAGTCCTTGCCCAAGCTGGTCAGAGTCCCACAGGCCTGTGCTAAGTTACCAATCACCTACGCTGGACTCAGACATTGCACAGCAAATTATTTACTAAAGAGAAATGAAACACATTCACGTAAAGAATTGTACACGTCTCTGCAAGCTTTATTCACACGGGTGAAAAACCGGTCAAACCTACTGTTCAGGCCACTGGTGGGAAAACAGTGGGGCTGTTTTCAAGGACAGTAAAGCCAACTTAGTCATGTCACCAAGGGACCTGGGTAATGACCCAACAGCAAGGGCCAGGGAAAAACGCAGGGACGCCCATCACAGCAGTAGAGAAAATGCACCCACACCACATAAAGAGAAGTGAAGCTGTTATCTGGAGGCCGCAAGGGCAGGCGGGATGATCAGGAGCCCGAGAACTGCACGGAGACGGCACCGGTTCCTTGTGTCCACCCAGGCCGTGCGGGCGGCTGTGCACTCAGTGGGGTCATCCCCAGGGTCCACTACCCTGGAGAGCCCATCTGGCAACTCTGTACCCCGCTCGCTCCGAGTTCAGTCTTGCTCGGTGGCACCAAACACGGGAGTGATAAAGGTTTGGCATCCGGGTGGGCAGAAACTAAGCATGCCATGTCCCCGCTCTGCTGCCAGCCCCAAGTCCTAGGAGACCAGGAAGCTTGAAGACTTTCTGACAGGCCCACAGTGAGGTGATGGCCGGTGGTCCTGCACCTGTGTCACCCTCCCTGCACTGACTGGCTCGTTCCAGTGTGGGGCCTCTGTGCCCTCCTCACACGCTGTGTCCCAGATGCAGTTAGGATGAACCCTGATGCTGGCGGCCTCACAACCAGTGGCCCCCGGCCCAACACTGCAGATGAAGGTGCGTGACTCCTTGCTGGAAGCGGGGAGGAGTCCCCTCAACAATACTAATGTTTTCTGGGAACGAGGTGGGAGAATAACCCAGGGTGCTCTTGTAGGAACAGGAGATGGTTACACTGGCCTCCTGCTCAGGGTCACCTGCGCTGCCTAGAAGTGATGCCTGGCCTCCCAGGGAGGGCCAGAAAGCCTCACAGGCATGTGAGGTGGCAGCGCACACGTGCTGGGAACGGTGAGCGCTCACCTGCCATCTTGCTGCCACCCTTAGGTGCAGACAGTCCAAGACCGCCAGGAAAGTCCCCTGTGCTTGTGGAGCCCAGGTCTGTTCATGAAGGGCCCCACAGCATAAATATAACATCCAACAGGAAGCAGCTCCTGCACCCAGGCTTTCCCACTGCAGAACCCACAGCAGAGAGCGGCGGTGTCTTGGCAACAAAACTCAGCCCGTGGCACGTGCTATGAGAAACGGCCCTGCCCCGCAGTTTCTGGCGGACTCGGGATGTTCTCTTGGCCGACAACAGGGCAGATCCCTGCCAAGCTGGTCGGAGCCCCACAGCCTGTGCTCACCTTTAGTAGCCCAGACACGAGCAAGCAGAGGTCAGCATCCCTGCGCAGACAGCCGTGGTGCCCCACACTCGCTGGCTGGACCCGCCAGGCGGGTCTCGGCATGGACACTGGTAACAAAGCGCATCTGGACAGGGCCTCGGGCAGGCTGGAAGTGGGCTGAAGCCAAACATGCTTCCCACATACCTGAAAATAACAGGGTGCTCCCCGTCGCCACCCACTGCATGCGTGATTTTTACCTCAGATGCTGGCTCGTCCTTCTGTAGCTTTAGAGCAGGGAAGAAAACTGCACATTTCCTGAGAGCTTAAAGTCTCTTTCCAGTGTGAGTTCTCAAGTGTACAATAAGGTGGTTTCGCTGGAAAAAGGCTTTACCACACTCACTGCACTCATGAGGCCTCTCCCCCGTGTGTGTTCGCTGATGTAATCGAAGCCCACTCTTTTGTCGAAAGGCTTTCCCACACTCCCTGCACTCGTAGGGCTTTTCTCCAGTGTGAGAGGTCTGATGATAACGAAGGGCGGAATTAGTGGTGAAAGACTTTCCGCACTGATGGCACCGGTAAGGCGATTCTCCTGAGTGAAGTCTCCAGTGCTGGGAGAGGCAAGACTGACGGCGAAACGACTTCCCACATTCCCTGCACTCGTAAGGCCTCTCTCCTGTGTGAATCCTCAGATGAAAACGGAGGGCGGAGCTACAGGTGAAAGGTTTCCCACACTCACTGCATATGTAAGGACTCGTCCCGGTGTGAACTCTTCGATGCTGCGTAAGGGAGGATTTACGGCTGAAGGCTTTCCCACATTCAGTGCATGCATAAGGCCTCTCTCCCGTGTGAGTTCTCTGGTGAAAACAGAGGGTGGACCTGGAGGTGAAAGACTTCCCACAGTCGCTGCACTCATATGGGCTCTCTCCACTGTGAAGTTTCCAGTGTCGAGAAAGGGAAGATTTACTGATAAATGATCTTCCACACTCACTGCACTCATAGGGCTTTTCTCCAGTGTGAAGTCTCCGGTGTTGAGAAAGGAAAGATTTACGGCGAAACGATCTCCCGCAGTCCGTGCACTTGAACGGGCGTTCTCCCGTGTGTAGGGTCCGGTGCTGATAGAGTGCCGAGTAGCGGGTAAAGGCTTTCCCACACTCCCTGCACTCATAGGGCCTCTCCCCAGTGTGAATCCTCTGATGACAACGAAGGCTGGAGGTGTAAGAAAAAGATTTCCCGCACTCGCTACACTCAAAAGGCCGTTCTCCAGTGTGCACTCTCTGGTGGTAACGAAGGTAGTAACTAGATGTGAAGGATTTTCCACATTTGGTGCATTCATGAGACCTTTCTTGTGTGTGAACTCTCTGATGATACCGGAGCTGGGATCTAAAGATAAAAGATTTCCCACACTCACCACATTCATGAGGCCTTGACCCAGTGTGCACGGTCCGATGATAACGCAGGCTCGACTTAGCCGAAAAGAACTTTCCACATTCTCCACATTTATAAGGTTTTTCTCTAGTGTGAACTGTGGAGTGTTCCATGAGATTCAAATTTGATTTAAAGGATTCTCCACACTCAGCACATTCAAAATTTCTTTTTCCGGTGGAAATCCTCCCTTGCTGAGTGGACAGGACAGAGCTACGGCTAAGGGACTTTGAACATGCCGTGCACAGGCGACAGGTGCCTCCAGAGGGACTTCTCTGGGGTTGAATGAAAGCAGCTTTTGGGCTAAAGAAAACCCCACATTTGCTGCACTTGCACTGCCTTTCCCCACCATGAACACTCTGATGCTTCCTGAGGGCGGAGCTGTGCCCAAAGGACTTGCTACATTCACCACACTTGTGAAGACTTTCTTCAGCATGGACTTGCTGGTGCACAACAAAGGAGGATTTGTTCCTGAATGTTTTCCCACATCCACCACACTCAAAACACGGCCTTCCAGTGTGGACATCCCGGTCCTGACCTAGTGTATGCTTGGGGCTGAGAGTTATCTTGATTGCTCTCCCAGTGAAGTGACGTTTTCTGCCCTGTAAAGGTCCCCCATGCTGGGGGATTTTGCTTGGCCTCTCCCCAGAATGAGTGGTCTGCTGTGGGACACGCTCAGAAGTGGCTACAAAGTCCTTCCCACCTCCTTCACAGGTGATGGGCTTCCTTAACACAAGGAAATTGAAACTCTTCACAAATGAGGCATTGTCTACATTGCTTTTCTCCCCTGAATGGGCCTTCTGGTGCTTTTGAAGGTTCGCACTAAAAACAAATTGTTTCATGCATGCTCCACAACCAAACACAGCTTCTGGGAGCTCAGGCCAGGAGAAAATGTCTGTCAAGGCCGGAAAGCAAGTCTCATAAGGGTGGGGCTTCCGGGAAGATGGCGCTGCCTTGGGAGTCCTGGACTGTGACACTTTCATGGAAACACTGGGTTGAAAGGGTGTCTCTACATTCTCTGCTCCACAGCAACAACCTGAATACAGAGAAAGGCTGGTCAGATACATGTTTTGGTTGTTTTATTTGTAGAACTTCATTGTAGGCCAGAGGTGAGGGGTGAGAAAATCTCCCACAGACACAATAGGGAGCAGAAGAGGCGGATCCACTGAAACCCACTGCTGAGGCGGCAGCGGGGAGACAGGAGGGCTCTGCTGCGCCCTGGGGGGTCCCTCCTTGGCCGGGAATCAAACTCAGGCCCCAGTGCTGACAGTGTTGAGACTTAAGCCCTAAGCCACCAGGGAGGCCCGGTCAGACACATGGTGCCCACAGGCAATGGACAAGGCCATTACAAAAGCATCTGTCTCGTCCAAGGGTTGATAGGACGTTTTTAAGACACCAGAGTTGAAATTCATTGGGAAAGTGGGTGCCGGGCTCTCCATGGTTGCTAAGGCCAAAGCACGGTGTTGTCACAAGCCAAGGACAGTGGTAACGCAAATCAGGTAGACTGGCATCTTCTACGATTTGTTCCTCCTACAAAGGATGCCTACAGGAGCTTTCCTGCTGGCTACCTGAGGTGCGCAGAGGCACGTGTAAACTCAGGAGAAAACAACCCCAACAGAGTAGCTTCTGGGCAAGGCCAGTTTCATGTCAACCCTTCCTCAACTCTTGCACAACAGGGGAGAGGAAGCACAGCCAGGTGGAAGAGGTCACCTGCGTCTCACGTTCCTGCGGAATTACTCAATTCGCCATGGATGTTGAGCGAATGGCTGGGTAGGAAAAATGGGAATGGCCGACACAGGCACACATCCATGGCCTATTTCTCAGTCTTAAAAAACAGAGAAGTCTGGTCTGTGGCCCACTGGGCTGGGGCACTGCGAAGGTGGCTGCGGCTGCTTCAGCACCGGTTCAATGCCCAGCCAGGGAGGGACCCCAGAGCTTGGCAGACCCCTCCTATCTCCCCGCCGCCCCCTCAGGAGTATGTCTCAGAGGATCTACCTGTGCTCCCCACTCTGTTTCTGGAGAGTCCTCTCACTCCCACCTCAGGCCTGCACCCCAGTTCTGTGTGCGCCGATAAATGAATCTTAAGAAGCATCAATACAAAAGGAGACGTCTGAGGGCTGCACGCCACATGGGCGGGCTCTGCAGAGGGGCCCACTGTCCAGGGAAGCAGCCAGGGGTCAGGCCAGGGTTGCGGGCAGAGGCGCAGCAAGCAGACGTCAGTGGACCCCGGGGGTCAGTTGGGGGGGGGCAGCGTGAGCCGGGCAAGCAGGCGGTGGCAGCGGGCGCCATCCCTGCAGAGTGGGCGGCAGACCCTTCTCTACAGGGTGCAGACAGGGGCCTGGGGAAAAGGGGGGGCCGGGGAAGGGGGGCTGAGCGGTGCCTCACCCAGCGAGGCGACCAGCGCCAGGTTCTGCAGCATCACGCGGCGGTACAGGCGACGCTCGCTGTCGCCCAGGAGCAGCCACTCGTCCGCGGAGAAGCGCACGGCCACATCCTCGAAGGTCACGGCGGCCTGCGGGAAGGGACAGCGGACGCGGGCCGCGGCCCCCAGGAGCCTGTCACCCTCCGCCCAGCGCCCGCTGACCCGTCTGCTCCGACCTCCGAGCAGGGGCGTCCGCGCACGCACCTCCGGGGCCCCCACTCGCACGTCTGAGACCCAAGGTGTGGCCGCTTCACCCCAGGGGCTCTGCGCACAGCAGCCGCACACCCCGCAATTCAGCGCCCCCAGGGCGGCCCCCCACGCCCTCCCCGCAGTCCGGGAGGCGGGGCCAGGCCCGACACCCCGCCCCTCACCCCACGCGCCCACACTGCGAGGCGCCGACCGGCCCCGCCCCCGCGTGGCCCCGAAGCCAGAACCGGCTCAGTCACGGGGCATGTGGCAGTCGGGGGGCGGCTGCTCGTGGCTCCCAGGG